AAACTTCAGATTTACAAGTTTGCCCGGCAGAACTTAGATCAGTAAACCGACACTTATCACACTTAGATTTGTGACTTAGCTTGTTAGCCCAGCTGGGCTTTTCCTTCACAATTCTTGGAGCCCAGAGGTGTGTTCCAATGAATTGGCAATTGAGGCACGGTTACAGGTGTGACTGGCTTTATATGAAGACATGACCCCGGAAGTTATATAAGAAAAATCACAGTTTTCTAAATCAAATACTTACAAAACAGTTGAAGGAATATGCTTTAAAGACTCCTAGGGTGACTGCTCCTTTGCAAAGCAGGTAACCACTCCTAGATTTACCTGCTCTGCAAACCGATTTTCTTAAATCAGGTTTGATTAAAGCTTAATATCCTTTCCTAAATGCGTGGAGTTCATTTTCATCCCCTGAAGTTTAATTCACTTCAGGTCCATTATTTTAGAAATTACGAAGTAGCCCACTTTGGCGTGCTCTGAGCTCCATCTCTGCCCTGTCCCACCCTCCCACTATATGGAATCCTTGGCTTCAAGTAGTTCCTACTAATCCATCCAAGTTATTAACGGATATAAGCCCGGCCTTGGTGTTCAGCACATTCTTGTAAATGCCTGACCTAAATCACTTCTGCCTGGTTAATTTGTGCTCACTCTCGCCTTAGTCCCAGTGTGAAAGTAACACCTTCCGTGCAATTGTCCTTTGTACAACTGAAGACTGTTAATAAATTCAGGTCTCACCTCCATGTCTGGGGAGGGCTCAAGGAGCTACTCATGGGGATGAGGATTTGTCTAATTCCCTAGCTAGGCTTTCCATACCTAAGGTAAAGAAATTCAGCCACCTTCTCTTTTATTCATAGTGCCTGTTTCCCAGCCTTTGATCAATTTTGTATTTCCCGTGGACACACTCCAAGATTTATAGATCTTCTTTCACTATAGCAGGTCCTAAAATTAAAGTTAGTGCTCAAAGTCCTAAAAACCTAAACTGGCTCAGAGCTGCAATAGGTAACCCACCATTTCCCATTAGATAGACCAGTGCATCTTGTTAGGAGCTGACTCCACTCTCCTCTCACCTACCAAAGGACTTTCTCAGGTGTAGTTCCATGAGATATAGTTCTACCGTCTCAGCTTCCTGCTGGTCATTGGTCAGATTAGCAATAACACTGAGCTGATCTCTAGGGATAAGGAGAGACCACTGAACTCATTTTGTTGCATGTACTTACATGCTTGGAACAAAAAAGGATGGAAAGTTTTTCTGGCACACAATCACCCATGTTACCACTATATTTTTAATATCCTGTGTTGCTCTTTATTCTTTTTTTCAGTTGACAGAGACAATACATGTTCTTGGTGGGAAATCTAAAAAATACCACCAAGTATAAAGGAGAAAAAAAAATCAAAACCTGAATCCCACCACAATTATGTTGTTTCAAGCCCCATTTCCAGGCTTTAAATCAGTCAGTGTCTGGGCCCAAAGGCACTTTTGAATAAGGTATGCGAAGAAATGCCCACAAGGCCAAGGTGCCACTTTAAAAGATCTGTCCACTAATGTTTTGCATACACCTTGGAATGGATTCATTGCACACTTCTGATTGTACCATTGTTCAAGGGTACAAAGAAAACTTTAGCCGTAGCACAGCTCTGATGCCTCCTCTCGTGAAAGCTCTTGGGGAGATTCTAAAATCCTGCCAGATCATTTTGTTTTTCGGTGCTCCTGTAACAGTTTGGATACTTACTGTTTGGCAATACTGCCACCTACTGAAAGCTAATAAGCTTTGGAGCAAAAGGGGAAAACCAGGACACAGCATAAGAGCTTCTAATTGATTTTAGACAGCAAACAAATGAGCCAGATTAACAATGATCCCATATGGAACTGCAGACTCTGGAAGTCTCAGAACTGAGGGGATTAAGGGTATCACCCAAACTAACTTCCCACCCACTTCACGCTTATCTTAGCAATGTCTACCATCTCTTTGTGTTCTAGAACATCACAAAATACAAAATATTCAACTTTCAGGTGATTATAGAAAGGATGAGAAAAGGCAGAGATGCTATTGGTCCAGAATAAACAACTAAAATTAAATATGAAGATGAGAAATAAACCCAGGAACATAGAAGAATTGAGAACATTATAAAGATGACATTTCAAATCTGTGAGAAAAGGTTGGATTATTAATTGTTATATTGGGATAAATAGCCTTCTGTTGGAGGAAGTATTAGATCTATACCTCATAACTGTCATCAAAATAAATTGTAGGTGAAGTAAATATTTAAATGTTAAAGCACATAAATAAACCAGTAATACTGATGAATATTTATGTTAAAGGACCAGCCAGCAATATTGGTGAATGCTTATGTAATTTTAGTGTAGGAAAGTAAAGCCTTTTTAAGACAGAAGAGAAAGAAACCCTAAAGGAAAAGATGGATGGATGTGACCAGTTAAAAATGCAAACTCCTATACAGTAAAAAATAAACCAGATTAAGAGAAAGCAAAATTTGAAACATATGCAACAAAGAACGTAGATCTCTAATACAGATCAAGAGCTTAAACTCCACTACCTTTGGGAAGTTTCCATGATCTACAGCCCCCTTCCCATCCAAGTGTTCCCATTTCATTTGTCCTTTTCCTTATTATACCTTTTGCATTATTGCTTGTTGAATTGTTTATCTACACTGAATTGGAAGTTCCATAAAGCAGCAACTATATCACTTTTGCTTACTGTTATATCCTCAGTACAGTGCTAAACACAAAGCAAATACTGAAAATACACTTACTGAATGAGTGAATAATGAATGCATGAATAAATGACATTTTATGACTCAGAAAGAATCAAACTTTCCAGTAGAAAACTAGCCAAGCACACAAACTGACAGTGTACCATAAATCAAAACAATGCACTGATACTAAATATGAAATTATTTACTTCATTTATCATAGTATTATTATATGAGTAAGCAAAAATATAAATTATTACAATATACTTTTTCATGTATCAGAAAGGGAACCGTATAAAGAATTAATGTTTCCAGAGACAACAAGGAAGTATGGAAATGAACAACCTCTTACAGAGCCAACAAGTATGTAAAGTGAGTCCACTTTTTTGGAAAATATTTTGGCAATCTAGTTTTCACCTATACCAAGTAATTCCACTGTAGAGAAGTTCTCCTTAAAAAGATCAGGGGAGAAAATGAGCTAAGACATATTCATTCATTATTCAAAAAAATGCAAAAAAGGATGCTTATTTGGAAGAATGGGAAAAAAGGTAAATAAGCCCACAGTATAGGGTTGGTTAAATACAGTATATCCTTTCAGTGGAATACTGTGCACCAGTTAAGAACAAGCACCATATATATATATTTATTGAAATGAACTATATTGTTAAATGAAAAAAAGTTATTGAAGAATATCTACAGTATCATCCCATTTTTAAAATATGCATATATGTGTGTGCATTAAAGAATCTGAAAAGATATCTGCTAAAATGTCAACAGCATTTATCTCTGGGAGGTGAGATTTGGAGCAATTATATTATTTTCTTTTTGCATATCTGTAATTTCTGATTTTTCCACAATGAGCATGTAGTGTCTGTATAATTTTTTCAGGGAATAAATAACAATGTTCACATTATATATTAAAGTGAAAAACACATGTTATAAAACAGTATGTATAGTAATGACACAATATTTGTAAAAAAAGAGAAAAATATATATAAATATATCTATGTATTATATATATATGCATAAGAAAGCTAGAAGGACACACACGAAAATGTTAATAGTAGTTATTTATGGGTAGTGGGATTATGGGTGATTATTTTTTCTTTTTGCTTTTCTGTGTTTTCTAATTTTTCTACAATGAATATGTATTACTTGTGTAATAAAAACTAATAATAAAAGTTATAAAAAAAAATGAAAAAGTGAAAGAGACATTGTGACTCACCACTCACCCAGACCCTACCTACCCCCTCTGCCCCACCCCACTGACATATTACCTGTCACAATGGGGGCAGTGGTGATATGGAGAGAAAACACCAGGGCATCATAACTTTTGAAGATAGAAGAGAGAGACAGACAGGCAAAGGAGGGTGGGGAGGAAAAAGAGGAAGAAAAGACGGAAAGACTGGACAAAGGGAGGAGGGAGGGAAGAAAGAATTAAGTGAAAGTGAAGTCAGTGGAGGAAGTATCAGAACAGGCTTTGGAAACTCCTTCACTAACCACGGCAATGTGTCTAAATTTTGCTCGGTTTTCCTGATAGGACAAAAAAAAAAATACACGGAGTTGGATAATTTTATTTTCTATTAACATATGATACACATGTCTGGAGAAACATCTAGGAATTAAATTCTGACAGGAATGTATCCCATGAAGTGTTAAAAAAAAGGCAAACTCTTCAGTCCAGCTAGTTGTCAGGATTGTGCAGTAGAGCCTGGCGTTACACACTGCTGTCTGACTCTCACAAGTGCTGCAACAAAGCACACAACTACGGCGCCCAGTTCCAGCATCCGTTCTCTCCTTTCTTGCCTTAGCCACACAGATCC